CCCAGAGCACAAATGCTGCTTATGGCACAGAATAATGAATTCAAGATTCAAATACACATGATGAGCATCAGGAAAACCTTTCAAATTGGGACACAAGGCCTGATGGAAACCCTCCTGCCAGGAACAGAAAACACTAGTCATTTTACAGCTGAAGGTGTTGAGAACCAAGTCCTGTTATCTTTACAGGAGCATCAGACCAGTTCTGTTATCAGGACTTTATTTCAGTGCTAAGCCAAACTGAAACATGCTCTAATCCAGGGCAGAAGTAAAGATTTCTGCATCTTGAGTGGGAGAAAACACCCACGAGCCCAATGGGATCTTGGAGATGCTGAAAAATGACTCTGTACACTCACCCATGCTCTATTATCAATTCCTCCGTATCCAACCGTGGCCAACAGTAAATAAAACCGAATGGTAAAAAACACAGAGGAGAAAGTGCTAAATAGGACTTTTAACCTCACACTTTATATCTAGAGCATTGTGTTCACTGGGGGTAACTGCACCTCAAAATCACATGGTAAAATTCACAGGTCATTGGAGGGAGTGATCAGGAGCTTGGAAAACTTAAGGGAAGAGGAAACCCAGCGGAGAAGTGAAGTAGGAGACGTGATAAAAGTAGAAAATAAAACCCCTAACAAGTCTAAAAGCACAGAAGTGATGGCTTAGGAAATTCAAATTACAAGGCAGTGAAAAATCAGGCCTGAAGATAACACCATGGGCTTTGTCATGATACACAGAATTTGTTGCCCTATCATGGGGTATCAAGGATAAAAAATCTGCCACAATTTAAAGAGGTCTGGAGGGTGTTAGGCATCTGCCCATGAAGCCTGTGAGCCAAAAGCCATGAAGATACCTCAGCACTTCAGTGCCCAGGAGGCAGATGTCTTACCCCAGAGCGATACTGTCATTAGTTGCAGTGCTAAGTGAGAAACAGCCCCAAAAACATCATTGAAAAAACCAAGAGCAGAGGAAAACCCCATCAGCTCCTTCACCTCCTCCTGGACAGAGCTAGAGCAGCCCCAGGAGTTTACCTCCCCAAGCTTTCCTTTACCAAGGCATAGGAAAAACCTTATTTACACAACGCAAATTCCCAAATTAAAGTGAGGAATCAACTGAAAGATCCTTTTTCCCACCATAATTCCACGTGGGAACATTTCCCACTCTGTTCCTATCCTAAAGACTCGTGCAATCCAGAGCCTTACACCCTGATGCAAACAATAGGCAGCTACTTTTGGACGTCTAAATGTATATATTTGGCATAAAAATTCCCGACTAAACAGAAGGGTGTGAAATTCCTCTCTTCTTGCCTCTAACACCATCTGCTTCAGCTTCAGGCAGTGTTTGCAAAGCAAGAAACTAGGAATTAAACCCCTTTCCCTGTCTCTCTCCATTCCTAGCTGACTTAGCCAGTTTAAAATAATCCCAAAATATTCTGATGCCATATAATATGTTAAGATGTGTCACAGAATCATGGAATCAACCAGATTGGAAAAGACTTCCAAGATCAGCAAGTCCAACCCTACTGTGGTTATTAGACCATGGCACTATGTGCCACATTCAGTCTCACCTGGAAAACTTCCAGGGATGGTGAATCCACCACCTCCCTGGGCAGCACATTCCAATGCCTGATCACTCTCTCTGTAAAAAATCTCTTCCTAATATCCAACCTAAATCTCCCTGGCAGAGCTTGAGTCTGTGCCCTCTTGTCCTGCTGCTGGTTGCTTGGGAGAAGAGACCAACCCCCACCTGACTCCAACCTCCTGTCAGGGAGTTGCAGAGGGTGATAAGGTCACCCCTGAGCCACCTCTTCTCTAGGCTAAACAACCTCAGTTCCTTCGGTGTCATTGGTATATGATCAATTAAAGAAGATGAACCTTGTAAAAGCTCCTTTCTTGATATGTCTCTATATATTTGCATCCTAAAATCTGTCCTGGGGAACTTGGTAAAGCTTTCTCACAGCTGAAAATGGCAAACAAAGGTGCCCTGGGGAAAACTCTCCCCCCAGGATTCATCCATCCAGGAATGAATCCATCCCATGGAGGATTAACTGCTTGTTCAGCGAATGGGGGTGGGCATGGTGAGCCAGGCCCAGCAGAAATCTGTGAGATACACAGAGAGGAGAAAACCACCCTTTGCTACATGATGAGGCAAAGTCACCACTCCTGCAATAACAATCTTCCTAGATTAACAAAGAGATCGTTATGGATCTGAATTCAAGAGTTTGCCTATACAGGCAGACCAGGATGGATGAGCCTGGCCTTGACCTTATTCCCACGTTGGCTCCAAGAGAGGAGATTGAGCCTGCAAAGCCTCTTCAGCCCCTCAGTATGCAGCACAACAGCCTCTGAATTTACAGGAGGCACCAGGCTGAAGCCAGACTGCCCAAGGATGCCTTGGTGGTTGTTTGCAAACCACTGGAAATAGAGTCATCCTCAGACAGAAGGTTTAAAAAAAGACTCACAAGGCTCATTGTATTAGATTTCACCAGGAAAGAAAAGGAAAGGAAGGTTAAAATAATCCCATGATGCTGGGAGATGACTTTGTGGTGGGTATTTGGTTTCCATAACATCAGCAGCATGCCACAGCAACGATTACATCATGGCTAAATGCTGCTCATGTAGACAAATTCTATCAGGATTTGTAAGAAAAATCCTTAGTGACTATTTAAATTTGCCATTTCTTTTTAGCAGAAGTGTCTGAGTATCTCAGCAATCTGTCTTCAGCCTTGAAGATCCGTGACGGATTCAGAGCAGGACTGATCTACTTCAGGCTCCCATCACCAAGACATCAAATAAACCCTCATAAAGCCACAAATACATCAGATAAATTCACATTTTAAAGTAACAGAACTATTTTTCTGTCTAGGAACACAATATCAACTCCCTAGTCTTCCTCTGTAGACTGGCAACTACCACTAAACAGCTGGTTAATCTTTGGGCCAGTGAGGAAGGAAGGACATTCTGAAGACCCAAGAGGTGAATATGCCTCATCAAGTTTTCTTTCCATCAAACCCACTCCTCCACACGCAGCATGGAACTCCAGGAAGAGGAAAATCAAATGGTTAAACCACAGAATTAATTCATCCAAGAGCTAGAGCTCGTGCAGCTGCACAGCTTATTGACACTTACAGAACACAAACTATGCCACAACACCCAAATTTTCCACCAGCAGAGCTTGGATCCAGCCAGGATCCAGATGGATGACATGCTCTGGCACTAGGAATTGGACATCTCTGCAACTGCTCTGCAAACAGGGACTTCAATGGCTTTGTGTGTTGGCAGATTTCTAGGAAAAAGCCAACCAGGCTAGAAGCTGGTCCCAGAAGAATTATTGATCACTGGATGGGCTTTGCAATAGCCTTTTTGTTTGCATTTTTATGACCCAGAACTGAGCACAGGATTCAAGGTGAGGCCTCACCAGCACCATGTTCTGGGGAAGAATCACCTCCCTGGTCCTGCTGACCATGCTGGTCCTGATCCAGCCCAGGATGCCATTGGCTTTCTTGGCCACCTGAGCACACTGCTGGCTCCTGTTCAGCTTCCTGTCTCTCCAAACCTCCAGGTCCCTTTCTGCCTGGCTGTTCTCCAGCTGCTCTGTTTACTTGAAGCCTGCAGATCTCTGTCTGGGTTGTATTTCACAGGTGACAGCACATCATGTGGTAAATTAGAGGTTAAATTTGAACAATTTAGTGTACACTCCTTAAGAAAATAGAATTAAAGGGACAATTTAAGAACTCGATCAGTGCCAAAACTTCATGTCAACACTCCTTAGCATCAGAGAGCAAATCTTTCCAGACTTACCTGTTCCAGTTTAAAGATGTGCTGGTTAAAGTAGTGCTGCAAACGTTCGTTGGCAAAGTTAATGCAGAACTGTTCGAAACTGTTGTTTTCATAGTCTTCAAACCCAAAAATATCAAGTACTCCA